CCCAAATAATCATTCTTTATAAACTATGTACAATAATGACCCATTAACTGAAAATAATCCAAGCAGTTTCGAATAAAATTCTGTTTGATGCAATTCCACAGCGCCTGAAGTATCAAACAAAGCAAGTTCAGAATCCCCTCTCATGACTTACTCCGGAAAGAGTGCATTAAAAAATTCGTGACACAACATATCATCAAATTATATCTCTTTAGCGGGTGAATCAGCGTCACCCATACCTTGCACAGCAGTTGGGATCAATTTGTTTTAACTTAATAATATTATTCTATGACAGTGGATATTAGATGAAAACAACTTTTCTTCATAACTTTATGTAAAATACTCCTACTATAAATCTCCGTCATGAGGAAAATGGGATTGTTCAGAGCACTTCCCGCTTCTCATACACATTTTTACATAGGCATGGATCTAATGCCTTCGTCACAGCCCACCAATCACACTTTTTAGTGGCAAAACTAGTCACAAGAAATTAATTTTACAGAGAACACATGTTTGCACTAAAGGTTCTCAGAATTTGCGTTCAATAAGCATACTGTCGCTATCAGAAGAACATGACGGACTTGCTTTTAAAAGCCACATTGCCCCAGATGTAAAGTTGGAGAGTCTATATTCAATAGTTTAGGAAATATTTGCCAATAAGTTGCGCCTCAAATTTTTGACCGCCCTATAAGTAAAAGTCCAAAAATATTTAGGTTATTTTGTCCCCATTCACCTCAGAAGGGAATTCCCCATCGCCCATAAGAAGACTTAACCAAAAGATTTAATTAATGGAAATTTTATTCTTTTCTTGCGATCTGAACTGAAAACCATCTAGATGAAACATGTTATATCAGTTCTTTGTCGCTTCTGAAAAGTCCCCTTCTTCGAAATTAATATGCTTAGACAATTGCACCACCGATAGAACTTTTTATTGAATTTATTGACATGGATATCTGGGTTGCAAAAGGAGAGCAAAATGCATAGATAAATTTACAGGTTACTTCAAAATGCATAGAATCAGAACACGGGCAATTCAAAAACACAACCACAATGGAGCACTCTGTTTCTTTTAGGGAAGTTCAACAAGTCTTGGTCAGGTACTATCTCCAGTGACCATCTATCTAAATGGTATTTTATCGACAAGACTTGACTTGGTCTATCAAGGCTAACTGCTTAGAGCTGAGAGTACTCGAAAGAAGGCACTTCATCATTACTACAGTGTATCATTATCTTAACATTACACTTACGCACTGTCCGTTATTCTATCGCAATGCTGAATGTAACACTCACCTCAAAGTGACTGAGCAAACCTTCGATTCGTACACCAAAACAGCTGTTTTAGCCGATACGTAGCCAGGATGATAGCGTCGCGGCAGAAAGCGACACATACATTTTTGTAATAGGAGTACAAGAGACAAAGGCAGAAAATTGGCGATTCGAATACGAGGGAGGGTAGATTTTTCTCGCTTTTCAATGAAAATGTTACCCCCACTCCCACCCCACCCTCTTCTGAACCCACTCATCCCACTCCCCCAAAGTCAAAACTCGGTACACATGGCTTTGCAATGATCTGAATTCCATCTAGTTCACAGTAAAAGGTCAGCAGCAATATTTTTTCCAACACACCATCTGTCTTTTTTCCTTTACTTCAGTGACCCGGACAGAGTGATAAGGATATGACAGGATGAAAACCGGGAGAGTTCTTGATAAGATCTCCTCAAAGTAACTCGGACACTTGGAAATGTGACAGGATGGGGTAAGTGTTGGTCCTTGTTTACTGTTCGTAAGAAGCAGACTTTTTCAGCTTCGATATATTCATTTTTAAAATATAGACAAGTTTCGAACGTTAAATCACTTTGTGGTCCAAAATCTATAAGAGTAGGCTTCAGCCGGTCCCCGGCAAAATTCATAATTAATTCTTACCTAACTAAAAATGTTTAATGTGTCCCACGCGCTCATATGACCTTATGCAGTTGTGATCGCCGTAAAACACTTACCAATACAATTTTTTAACAACACATATAAAGATTTTTACGTCCCCGTCGATACAATCTTAAAATTTAGATGAGTAGGGAGGCGGATATCGACCTTACTTATCAGGCCAACCGGGACTGAAAGGGATGCAACATTCCAGCAGAAGTACCGAGGAGCTCAATAAATGTTCTCGCCACTCGGGAATCAAACTCGGGCAATCTGCCTGAGACGGCGAAGCGCGAACCGCTCCACCACAGACACCGGTTCCCCTTTCGTGAAGAACAAAAAAGGGGCAAAAGGGAGAAATAATGTTCCATTCAGACA